TTATTTTATTTTATTGTGTTTTATAGCATATAATTTTTATTTTATTGCATTTTATTTTATTTAATTGTTTAGCATTTAATTTCTTTTAGTTTATCGCATTTTATTTTATTGTTTTGCATTAAATTTAATTTTTATTTCATTTTTATTGCATTTAGTTTTATTGCATTTAAATTAATTTTATTGCATTTTATTTTATTTTATTGTTTTGCGTTTTATAGCATACTGTTTTTATTTTAGTGCATTTTAATTAATTAAATTGTTTTGCATTTAATTTTATTTAACTTTTTTTAATGTTATTGCATTTTATTTTATTGTTTGCAGTTTATTTTATTTTAGTTTTGCTTGTTTGTTTGTTTATTAAAGGCAAAGTATGTAAGTTTCGTCTCTAGAGGGCGCATATTCACAACAAACATAGGTATATTTCGATGTAGCTGTGGAATCATGGGAGTTGTAGTCAAAATTGTATTGTTTAAAAAAATGCAGTAAAGTTGTAGTTTTCATGAGCACTTACAGCATGTCAAACCTTATTCTCATGATAGTATGAGGCAGAGTAATACTAGAAGCATTTGGGATTATGTAAGTAAAACATTTGAGATAATGTAAGTACGTACTTTATAACACTGTTCTACTGGTAAATATTTTAACATGTCATGCCATTAACTGAGATCAACAGAACGATGCTAATAATAAGTAAAAGACACAAAAATGTAAGATTTTGTTGCATTAAAATATCCCAAAAACCACTTAAATAATGGCATTTTCACAAATATCCCTTAATATTTGTTTACAATAAAATAATGACAAGCATTAAAAACAAAGCCATCAATCCTCATTAAACAATAATAATTCAATGACAGCAGAAAACCAAGCAATCCACCATAATCATTGTCTATTTTACAGCTCTTTTAAGCTAGTCAATCATCCATTTAAGCTTTTTTATTGAGTGAAATTGTGTCTTAAATGATGTGTTAATCATGCGGCCCAATCTAGACACTTGAAATATTGCAGAACAAGACAGAGAAACTCTCAGACTTGAACTTTCCGGCGTGTGTTTAGTATTCAGGACTGGTCAGACCTTGTTTTTGGGATTCAGCCTCTTGCACGGTGGTCTCTCCTGTGACAAAGACACACAGTTTCTTCTTTCAGACCGATGCAAGTAGTTTGACATTGTCCGCAAGACCAACACATGCATGACAGATCTGTTAGCTTTGAGGATTTAGAAACGATTGTAATGTCATGGATGCTCTGTGGAGCATTTTTTTTAATTTATGCGATCTTTAAAGTACTTGAATTTGATTGGCCGAGATGCTTTACTGTGCTGTGGGGTGTTTCACCAGTAGGTGGCGACAAAGTCTTTTAATGAGTGATGCAATAAATAATTTAATTATTTATTCAAGTGTACAACTTAGAAAATTCACCTTTTACACTGCCCTTTTTTTGGGTGAGTCGTTGAATTATTCGCTAATTTGATTCATTTATGATTTGTTTAAAACTTGTTTAGCTGTTCAAGTGAGCCATATGTCAAATTTGATAGGATTTAAGAGAAAACATAAAAAATGTATAAATAAGTAAATAATAAAATGTTCATTATGAATAAAAAAGTACATACTAATGTTAACAGTAATATTAATAATAAAAAAGATTATACTAATGCAGGGCTTTTAGGGTGAGTCACTGAATTGTTCACTCATTCGATTAAATGTAAATAAATTATTGACTTAACTGATTTGTACATAACAATGATTCAGGACAAAACAAGTGAAGCACTGAATCATTCCCTCATGTGTTGTCAGTTCAGATTTTAAAAAGAAAAACATAAAAACGTGAAAATAAATAAATACATATTTATACTTAATAAACAAGTATATGCTAATGCTAATAGTAATATAAATCATGAAAAATATTACGTATGTTAATGCAAGGTTTTTAGAGTGAGTCATTGAATTGTTCGTTGTAATAAATAAAAATTTAGATACTAATGCTTATAGCGTGATGCTAATTAAAAATATATTCTAATGCAATATATACATTTTAAAATAATTTAAATAAATGTCTAAGTGAATAATTATTATCATATTTTAATTAATGTGTTATATATATATACATATATATATATATATATATATATATATATATATATATATATATATATATATATATATATATATATATATATATAATTATATACAGGTAATTAAAAAGCTGTTTGTTTGTTTGTTTGTTTGTTTGTTCAGTTGTTTGTTTTCCCAAAGCTTATTCATTTTAGGACAGCATATTTATCTTTGGCATCACAATTTCAATTCTACTTTTAATCTGTTTATTTTCTTACTGTAATACCTAAAATAAACCATTTCTCTTACTCTCATCCTATCCCTTGTGCCTCATTTAATGGTTTATCCAGAACATCCCATCCTTGTAATTTGTATCATATTCTGAAATATGTTATTAAACATGTGACCAAGGTATTAAAGTGTGTGATTTCTGCTTTCACAGCAGCCTGGATGGAACAAATGTAGACATTTTCACTTTGACTGTGAACCTACCACAACACCTTGACTTTCCTTTAGTTTTTCCTTAACAGCTTTACAGACGGTGCACATGCGAAAGCCATAATCAAAGTAGGACATTAATTCCAAGCGAGACTGAATATCACTTTCCAAATTAATGTTTCAGTCTCTGCTGAAAAACACGAGTGACTCAGTTGTAGATGCTCTGTACTCATAGATTTTTCATACAGGAAACAGAGGCAGGCTGCAGCATTGGATTAGTGCAGATTATTAGATTGAAAATTCAGATACAGTCTACAATAGATTTACCAGAGCCCTTCCACCCTCATCATTTGTCTCATGCACACACATTCATGTGTTTAATGCAGACAATACACTGCATGACTGAAGGTTAGGGTTGAATATTTGCATGTTTTGTAATATTATAACTTTCTTATTGTTGCTGGTATAATATATAAGACGTGATGCATTTCTTGCATGTATTTACATGATCTGTATCGTGTGCTGGACTGGCAAAACAAAAAAAGAAAAAGCTTTTAATGATACTTAAAAAAAACATTTAAAATGCAGACAGAATCTGCTGACTTTTTTTTTGCAATTTATATACAGAATTTTGCAAAATATCTGTGCATGTATGAGGAATGATTTAGGGAGTATCTTTACTAAAAACTTAATATGTGAAATAATAAAAAAGAATGCCATTTATAAACTTTTTAAAAATGTTTGCATTGCAAATCTAATTTATCCACTTATTTGGTTAACAAATCAAGTCTCTCATATAATATATCTAATAAAAGACAGAAATATTACTTATTAAACTGTATCGTAAACAAATTAAATGAACATTTTTATATTCATTCATTCATTTATTTTCTTGTCGGCTTAGTCCCTTTATTAATTTGGGATCGCCACAGCGGAATGAACCGCCAACTTATCCAGCACGTTTTTATGCAGCGGATGCCCTTCCAGCCGCAACCCATCTCTGGGAAACATCCACACACACATTCACACACACACTCATACACTACGGACAATTTAGCCTACCCAATTCACCTGTACCGCATGTCTTTGGACTGTGGGGGAAACCAGAGCACCCTGAGGAAACCCACATGAACGCAGGGAGAACCATTTTTATATAAGTCAAAGGAAATTAATCAAAACATCTGCATAAATATACAATAACAAACGTTTACACAAGTTAATAAATGGGCTCAATGTTGGGCTAAAAATCTGTGGATTTCTGTGCACGCAGATTCTGCGAGGGCCTACTAATAAGACATAAATTAAAACACTTGCAATACAAATAGCTAACCTTTAAGAAGAAAAACATAATGACAATTGAGTGAATGCACTTAAAATAAAATATTATAAATGGGTTCACTTGGAATAAACAAATTTAGCATTAATGTTTTTTAATTTAATATTTAAATACAGTTAAAGTCAGCATTATTAGCTCCCCTGTTGCTTTTTTTTATATTTCCCATATTATATTTAACAGAGCAAGGGAATTTTTACAGCATGTCTGATAATGTTGTTTCTTCTGAAGAAAGTCTTATTTGTTTTATTTCGGCTAAAATAAAAGCAGTTATTAATTTTTTAAACACCATTTTAAGGCCAAAATTATTAGCCCCTTTAAGCTAACTTTATTTTTCTACAGTCTACAGAACAAACCATCGTTATACAATAACTTGCCAAATTCCCCTAACCTGTTAACCTAATTAACCTAGTTAAGCCTTTAAATGTCACTTTAAGCTGCATAGAAGTGTCTTGAAAAATATCTAGTCAAATATTATTTACTGTCATCATGGAAAAGATAAAACAAATCAGTTATTAGAAATGAGCTATTAAAACTATAATGTTTAGAAATGTGTCCAAGAAATCTGCTCTCTGTTAAACAGAAATAGGGGAAAAAAATAAACTGGGCCGCTGGAAAGGCATCCGCCGCGTAAAACATATGCTGGATAAGTTGGCGGTTCATTCCGCTGTGGCAACCCCAGATTAATAAAGGGACTAAGGCAAAAAGAAAATGAATGAATGAATGAACGTCCAAAGAGCAGCAAATCAAATAACAAAGCAATAAACAATAAATTATAAGATTAATACAAAGTACAAAAATACAATACAGTACAATACAACACAAGACAATGCAAAACAATACAGTACAGTACAATACAATACAGTACAGTACAATACAATACAGTACAACATAACACAACACTATACAGTACAGTACAATACAGTACAGTAAAGTAAAACAACACTATACCATACAGTACAATACAGTACAATACAATACAATTCAATACAGTACAGTACAACATAACACTATACAGTACAGTATAACACAAGACAAGACAACACAACAAAACACAATAAACATAAAATCTCAGCCCCTTGTTTAGCTATTCCGCGCACGACATATAACTACATTTCCCATCGTACTCCGCTAAATCATCGTGGCCGCGCATTGGTTTTATCTGAGTGCGCGCCTCCGAGGCTTCATCTCGTGCAGAGCAGTTCGCTCGAGCGGTCTGAACAATGACTGCGCGAGAGGATGATGTGAATCCAGAGAAATGCCTGATTTAACAGCAAAACTGCACATTGCGCTCTCTACTACGCTTTTCCCTAAACAAACACCATGAGTATGTGGATTCCTACAGAACACGAGAAATACGGAGTCGGTAAGTTTTGCTGTTTATTTCTTTGCTCGACTGTTACTGTTGAATCAGTGTAACGTTAACGATACGACATAACCGCTATTTCCCTCACTGTGTTTGTTTGTTTTTGTTTATTTGTTTGCTTGTTTTCTATCCCAATGCGAAACCTCCGCGTTTGCTTACATGTTTGTGAAGGAAACAAGTGTTTTCAGCACTTTGCTCGAGTAGTAATTGAGTGTGTGTTGTTTGTACACAGAAATGAGCACATTCGCGGCATGTTGACGCGCTTTCTTCACTGGATTTAACCTGCTCGTGTTTTACTACACTTCAGTCATGTTTTGTCAAGTGTTAAAGGACTTAAGCTGTGCGAATAGCTGCTGTGGTCGCTTCAAAATAAAGGAAAAGCGGAGGACGTGTGGTTTGTGTTGTCAGTCAGATTACAGTGTACATGAGAATGAATTATGCGTTATGGATTGTATTATGACATTCGCGATCGGAGTTTTGATCTGAGGCATTGCTCTGCTGAGATTGCTTGCATGCATTTGAGTTGGGAGAAATGCGTGTCTGTGTGTTGAATTTGGAGAGATTGTTAAAGCGAGGACTTTAAGCATCGTCAAAGCAGGATTTGTGACAAATATATGATCTGCTGGAATTGGTGCATATTTGTGTCATCAACTTGTTTGGGATTGACTTATAAATGTGTGTTATTTTGATTATTATTTGCTTCCCATTTTAGATAATATATTACATTTGTCTGACATGTAGAAAATAAATTATCATTTGATTTTTTTCCGTTTTGATTTATTATTAGCTGTAGTAGCTATTTTTCCATGCAAATGTCAACCTGTCATAATATTAAGTTTTCACCAAAACCCTTTCTATTTTTATTTATTTATTTATTTTATTTATAATGTGTAGGCTTGTTTACAGTACTGTAAAAATACTCAAAAATTTCAATGTTTCAAAACAATTATATTTGAGTTACCAAAGTCTCACAAGTGTGAATTTCACATCTGTCACATCCGTAACCGAGAGATGTCACATCCATAACAAAGCTTTTCTCAATACATGCAAAAAGTCAAATAAAATAAAATCAGCCAAGTTTTTTATAACAGTGAGCAACGCCTATCCTTTAAATTAGCATTATTTTGGGGGTTTTGCAGTTCTATTTACAGAATTTCTATGTTGTATACTCTCTCATACATTTTTGGTCACATCCGTAACTCATGTTTACTTCCCTCATTTAAAATATAAAATATGTTTACAGACTTTTTCTGATCTTATAACTCTGTGGTTAGTTGTTTCTGAAAATATAAGCAGATGTTTAACTATACTGTTAGCATATACTTTCTTATACGTTTCAAGTTTTTCTGCAAATGTCACATCCATAGACTGGAATTGCTCTAATATTTTAAATTAATTTATAATAAATTATCTAAATGGAAAAAAACCAAATATTTTTATGATTTTGTTGACTTGTTTTAGGATATATCTGAATGTATTTTAAATTGGTATTAACCACAACTGAGTGAATACTTAATAACAAAAAAAAGTTTGCAGAAAGTAAAAACTACATTAATTGTCTCTGTAAACCTTCAAAGACAAATCAAATTCTGAGGTTGTTAGTCAGTTTTTGTTTGACCCATCTGATTAATTCAACTTGCGTTTATAATAATTGATTAACTACAAAAAGCTGAACAGAAAATTCCACCAATCAGAGAGCTGCCGCAGTATCATTAGCTCCGCCCACTGCCATGAACAATGGTGTAATCAAGTCTGTAAAAAAATGGTGCATATTTATGTCATCGATTTATTTATGGGGCAAGAGATTGACTGATAAATAATTGTTATTATTTTATGATTATTTGCTTCACATTTTAGATCTTATTCATTGGTCTGATATGCAGCAAATAAATTATCTGTTGCTTTTATTTCTTTAATTTTGAGGTAGTAATAATAATACTAATAATAGTCAACAAGTCAAATTAAGCTATAAATATTTTAATAATATATAAAAATCTATTTTTAAAAGCTATTTCCTATTTTAATTTGTAGGTAATAGTTTTTTTTTTTTTTTAAAGGGACCGGCACTTAAGTGTGCAGAAAGTAAAAACTACATTAACTGTCTCTGTAAACCTTTAAAGACAAATCAAATTTTGTGTTTATAATAATTGTTTAGCGGCGGAGTTCTTGCAGAAACATTATAAGATGCTGATTAGAAAATTCCACCAATCAGAGAGCTGCAGCGAGCAAAGTGCAACAGTAATTTTAGCTCCGCCCACTCTCATGAAGCACCAAAAATGACGTAATCAAGTCTGTCTTCCTATATGTTGACAATCCTTTTATGTAACCCCAAATTAATGCAAAAATGTCACCGAAACTAACGCAGTCAAGGATGTAAACAAATGTTAAAATGTTATTAAAATTAAAACTTTGAGGACGAAAAAAATTTGAATAGGCTGATCAATGGTATAATGTTTTTAACCATTCTGGAGTGCTAATAATAATATTATTAATAATAATAATGCGACGCAGTGGTGCAGTAGTGCTGTTGCCTCACAGCAAGAAGGTTGCTAGTTCGAGCCTCAGCTGGGTCAGTTGGCGTTTCAATGTGGAGTTTGCATGTTCTCCCTGCGTTTGCGTGGGTTTCCTCCGGGTGCTCCGGTTTCCCCCATAATCCAAAGACAACAGATAAATTGGGTAGGCTAAATTGTATGTTGTGTATGAGTGTGTGTGGTTGTTTTCCAGAGATGGGTTGTGGCTGGAAGGGCATCTGCTGCGTAACACGTGCTGGATCAGTTGGCGGTTCATTCCGCTGTGGCGACCGCAGATTAATAAAGGGATTAAGCCAAAAAGAAAATGAATAAATGAATAATAATGAGTGGCATGGTATGCTCAGTGGTTGTCACTGTTGTCTCACAGCAGGAAGATCGCTGGTTCAAGTCCTGGCTGGGCCAGTTGGAGTTTCTGTTTCCGATTTCCCCCACAGTCCAAAGAGATGCAATTATTGGTGAATTGGGTAAACAAAATTGTCCGTAGTGTATGAGTGTGTGTGTAAACGCGAGAGTATGAGTGTTTGTGTGAACGCGAAAGTGTATGGGTGTTTCCCAGGGTTGCGTCTGGAAGGGCATCAGCTGAGTAAAACATGCTGGAATAGTTGGCGGTACATTTCACTGTGGCTACCCATAAATAAGGGACGAAGCCAAAGGAAAATGAATGAATAACAATAATAAATATTATATAACGTTGTTGTTGTTATTACCATACCAATTCTATACATCTTAACTGGAGAACAAATAAGTTTAACTTCAACTCTAACTTAGTCTAATCTGCTGGTACATTTATTGATTGCTAAATTTTCCAATTCGCATTAGACTTTGCCTCTCTATTTCTGTGTTTAACCCTGTTTTAAAGATCTATCTGTTGTCTCTCGCTTTTATTACTCTTTGAATATTGCTTTATTACATCTGTTTATTAAATATTTTATACCCTTCTCTTTTCTTCTCTGTCTTTAGTACTCCTATGCATAGCCCTTTGATTAACTTTAGCTGTTTTTAAATGTGCTTAATAAATAAATATTATATTGTATTGTTTACATTTACATTTACATTTTTTTTTGTAATTGTAAATTAATCTTTTTTATTCTACATAAAGCGTCCTATTTTTATAATTCCAGAAAAGCCCGAAAATGATTTGACATCTTAAAAAGCAGAACTAGTCATGCTCTGTTGATTAATAATGTATATTTGATTCCTTTTTTGGCAGTATATCTCGGGTATATCAAGGTTAGTTACCGTCTAGGTGAACTCTTAAGGTTCCTGTTTTTTTGTTTGCCAGCTTGTTGAAGGAAATCTCCAGCATGATAAATGTATTCAAAGCTCAGAGCCCAAATCTGTGGGCAAACGAAGGCTTGTTAAGAGTGAAAGCAAATGTTTTCTCTTCAGGGATCTCGTCTTGAGTTATGGTGATTTCTCCCGAGGATTTTGACGTTTTGCCACGTCTGTTACTTTAAAGTGGGACTCACACCCCAACAGGGATTTGAGGTTTTCTATCCAGTGGCTTGGTAATTTCTGCGTTTGATCTTCATCCAGGAACAAAATTCGTGTTTTTAGTGTTTAATTGGAGGCTGGCGAGTGGCTCTCGTATGTAAAGCAGTTAAGAATGACTCTCAGCTAGTGATGAAATATGAATGAACCCCTACAGTCGCTGCAAAAAGACGCCAATTAGATCTCAATTGGATTAATTACTCCTAATTAAATCAAGGCAAAGTTGTGTAGGAGTCTCAGTGGCCCCACTTCAGTGTTTTCCACCTGCTAACAGGAACTAAAGATGTGATCTTTTTGTTGCCCTAATGTTGTTTTTGACAGCCATGGCATTTGAGGAAACTGGCGCAGACGCTGAATGGGTGGAAATACCCATTTTCGTCCTTTTCTTCCTTTGCTGTCTTCATTTCGCAAGACAAATGTGATTAGCTGCCAGCCTGAAATAGACCGAGGGTGGAATATGACTAACTTTTGAAACTATTTAAGCTTCTGTGGATATTTTCTATGAATCAGGCTGCCTATTTTTACCTATTTGTAGAAATGCTAAATAAAGAGCCACAGCACCCCCTCATTTGAGGTTAAAAAAAGCCCAGTTGTTAAAATTCATAGGTTTTCTTGACATAAATCTGTAGATTCAATTGAGATGCATGTATAAAATGCTAACTTAAGTGAAGTCTTGAGGAGAAATCTTAAAAATATGGAGAATGAAACATTTTACCAAATGGTACTAAAGTGCCTTAAGGGTTGTTTAAGCTAGTAAGAATACTTAAGCTGCAATTATTCTTTCAGTTAGAAATATTTGTCTTATGCGTTTAATATAATGTAACACATTTGCTATAATATAATCTTAAACTTACTCCCTGAGCCATTTACATCCAAGTTGATATTTGGCCACATTATGTTGGTGTTTTGTAACTTTTAGTTTTTACGATTGGGGTCGTTAGCCCAACGCTCAACCACCCCAACTTGGAGGACCAGGGC